GAAATGTAATCATGCCGAGGTTCATAGAAAGCCGTACATGGAACTAAGTTCCTTATGTTGAAATTATGTTCAAAAAAGAGGTCCCCCAACTATATTATCAGATCAGACTTTTGTAGAGACATACATAGCTCGATACCAATACAGATCGGAATTACAGTTTTGAAGTAACCACTTCACTCCACATCGTCCATTTCACTGCGCAGTACTCACTCTCCTCCATCAACTAACCCACCACGTTGCTGCCTTATATGTATATAAGGACGTGTAGAACAGAGCTAGGTTTCCCATATCTTTGCCTTTAGAGTTTTGCGGACGGACAGATCGACGACCGACACACCGACAAACACACAAACACACAAACCTACAAACCAACAAACCGACACATCAAGTTACTGCTTTATAAATGAAGGAGATAGTAGGATACATTACAGTACTCACACGTACAACGTAATGAACTGGTCAACCCCTATCAGCTCTGAGCCGTGAAGCCATGAACTTCACTTGATATAACTCTTTTCTTGGAGTCCTATCCGCTGTATTCGCTTTTTTCCTTCTGAAGTTTGATGATACTTTCGAAACAGTCGCAGGCTATTATCCTTCAATTTATATTCTTCCATCTGATCCTGAAGCTTATGCGGCAGAATGGGCCAGATGTTCTACCCAGGGGGTGCTGGCAGCTCCTGCTGCTAACCTAGGCAGCAGAACTGATCTCCATAACGAAAAGTTATTCTGTTGTCCATCTCCACGAACAAGAACTTTCCCACGATGCACCAATAAACCTTCCTTGAACGATTTTACCGCCTGAAACAGGTCTTTACGTTAGCGTCAACACAGAAGGAATCTCTCCGAACTCCTTGGAAGGTATCCTCAGGCTCAACAGGCGGTTTGGAGATTTGGAGACAGTTGGAAATTTCATATGCACTGCGTATCCACTGATCTGTCATGAGCATCCACAGGTCCAGAATTGCTCCAGAGATCCTTTAGTGTAATGGAACTGGGCCTAGAGCTAGGAGATGAAGAAACGTACCCGGAAGTTGTCGACCACATCGTGAAGATCTTCGGTTGAAAGTGAACGTGTAGTGTTCAAGTTCCAATGCCATGTTCAAGTTTCAATACCATTATCAAACAAGGATAATACGCAAGTATACACAGTGAACTATACAGTGATCTATGGCGCCCATCTGAGCGCTAGCGGCTCAGATATTTGATCATTCACCCTGAGGTAAATTGTCAGCGGACCGTGCGACGGCACGGGTTTAACGCCAGGGAGAAAAAGAAGATCCTTAGGTAAATTGTAGTATAACATGTGAAGAAATCGCCCAATCACCGAGACCCTCGTGATTACTGTAATTGATTGGAGGCCTCCAATTCGCCATTGCAACCGTATAATGGTATTTGCAGTCTAAATAGGCTCCACGCTAGATGGGTGTTTTGGGATTAAATCATTGAACATCCTGAACCCGTACTACTCCCACCTTTCAATAATCTTTCTAAGTTTTTTATGATCGTCTTTTCTTAACAGAATCCTTGCCCTTAACTATACTACCCTGAATATTTCCACTATTCTCAATTTTACTCAGATGTATGGATGCTTGTGTCGATGACGTTCATCATCTGCAGTCTTCTTGAGCTGTCAATTTTCGGTTATAAAGTTTGAGACGAGAGCAAAGTCGCTAACAAAGCGGCGTCGAAACACATTTCGAAGCAAGGTCAGAGAGCAGCAGCAGAGCAGTCCATAAGTGGTCCACGAAGTCCCTAATATGTTGAAATTATTCGAAAATGAAATTGCCTTCAATTTTTTCAACATTCAGCCTTTGAAAGCTTTGTAAAGGCTGTAGGCAGTTGGTATATCTTCCATTTATTTCCAATATCTTTTAGATGGGGGTGGTTAACTCAATGACACTTCCAATCGTTCGCATGCAAGACGAGGAAGGGCAAGATAAAATTATTGTGATTTCAGTTATAATCGTATAGAAATTTACTAAACAATACAGAGAAGCAAACTCAATCAAAGTCAATGCTGGCAGAGGTGTAAAAGCCGGTGTTTCCAAATATAGGATTGCTAAAATATTATGTTTTTAAGCCAATCTTAATCCTGAGCGAGCAACCAGAAGTAGAGAATGGAGCAAGGCACATAGAAGTTGTCGAGCGGCCGATTGTCAAGCAGAAGCTTCATTGCCATTCCTAATGTACGCAGAAATGACTTCTTTTCCAATGCCAACAGACAGGGTAGGGCTAAAAAAGCAGAAGATGCTAACTCATTTGAGTGGAAATACGTGTCCCTTAATCATTTTAATTGTCAAGAAAAATTTTAGGACAAAGTCACTCTCCAACAGAAGAAACGATCGCCTTCTAGGCAGAAACATCGTAAGTGCAATTTTGCGCGAAAGCGCCATCAAAAAATAGCAAAATGATGTTCATTGAGGGAGTCATGGGCAATGGTAGAACACCAGTGGTTCCGCCGGAGCCGGCTAGAAATTTTAAAGAATGCGTACTTGAACAGCGTACCGATGAACGTACTGATAGTGAAGGTGCAATGATCCAACTCCGCTTCCTGTGAACGCTCGCGTTTCTTCCAACAGGACGGTGCTCCTGTCTACAGAGCCGTGTTCATCCAAGATCGGTGCTGACGCCAGCTACCCGACTTCACAGCATGGAGAAACAGCCTTCCTGCTCTTCAAATCTTAATCATTTTGACCTCTGTATGGCCCTTGATAGAAGAGAGCCTGTCGGGCTCCCCATCCTAGCTTGCAGCTTTTGAAAGCAATGCTCAAGAATGGATGGAAAGGAAAGGAGGACGGATACCTGACTGCAGCATGCGAGAAGGTTGGTAAAAGATTTTTACTAGCTAATTGGGCATATTATGAAATTTGTTGTAGTTCGTTGTTGCACATAATGTAAGCAAACGTGTCTGTAGGTCCCCCAATGCAATGAATGGGCGCCCACAATTGTGGAACGCCTTGTAGATCAACAACGACGCCGTCTAGCGTCAGCCCCAATCGTCCGGCAGCCACTGACCGTCACAGAGTATGAACGCGTTCAATAGCGAACTGTTCATAGCCATCTCAACATGCTCCAACAACCTCCCGATTCCCCCTCCCTTATTGCCGTCCCTGCTACTCCAACGGGTGATTGAGTGGGTTTTTAGGTCTTTGATCCGTTGTGAACTTCTAAAACAAAGTCCGCCCTTAGGTGATCCAAATTACAAAAATATTGTAGGCCAATAGAGGAGTCAACCAATCAAATTTGGTCTGATTTGGTTTGGAAATGAACCCCTGCGCATTTCCAACTACTTCGTTCATTCAGACTTCAGTACCAGTACCATGGCCACCAGAAAAGATCGATTCCTTGTCAAGTATAATATTTCCGATCAGCTTCTTTGTTTTCGAAGTGATTTCAGCTCGAGAGTTTGAAGTTGTGATTCACTGATTCTACCTTGAAGGTGGAGCTCCTTTTTACCTTTTACTTTTTCCCAGAAGTTACAGTAATGCTACTGCAGCTTATGAGTATATTTTCAGATTATTTACTGGTCTTACTATTTACAACGGAAACAGGAGATATGGGACAGCATGAACGAATTGTGATGCAATAATTCTGCTAATAAACATGTTTTTCAGCATGAATGACGGTGCTTTTGCGTAGAAGATAGACAAAACCATTATTTTCCTTAAATTTGTTCTCTTTCTGCCACAAAACTGATTCACAAACAGCTCTTCATTCAGGCGCCACCAAATTCCGGTGACCAAATCGAGCATATCAAAGCTTGCCATACAAAATACGTGTACTTGTGCTACAGTAGAGTGCAGTCGTCGGTTTCACAGATGAAATTTTCTTTATTGTGGCAATGCAGATCGTTCCACACATTCCATGCCGAAGATAAGAAGGTTATATACTGTAATCAATTTCTCTTCAAGATTCCCATTTGCTGAACTGATTCCTGGTAACTTACGTGAACACATTTTTCTGTTCCCCCATAATTGTCGGGCGTCTTTTGGCCTTTCCACCATGCTCTGTAGGTACAGTTCGAACCACTTTCCCAGATCCACGACAACGGAGCTCTTCCTTTCCAATGAAGTCCGATCCAAACGCGAGGAAGGTCTCTTCCAGTTTGGTAAAAATAACCCATGACTGCAACAGTCGCATAACCAGCTTTCCATATTATTAAGAAGTCTTGTTTATCTATAGTACGAATTATTTATTTAGTGGAGATATAACAAAAGTATGTGTGGAGAAGCTTAGCATTTTGCTCAGCGGACAAAAGCTAACTGCTCGTAGCGCAAGTCTCACCGGCTTAATTTCTCAAACGTACAACACGAGGTCCTGGTGGAGTTGCAAAAACACAAGTCAACGATTCTTCCTCACAAGGTTGGTATCTCAAGTGCTCAACTGTAACCCAAGCAACGAAAAACTTAGCTGGATAAGAATCAACGGTTGAGCTTTCCGTAGCATCTCAGGTCTCCACTCAACGTTATACCACAGGAAGTTGAAGCACTTCCCCTGCTAAGTAACACTTTTACCACGCTTATGGTCAGACCTCCCAGTCTCATGAAAAGGGTTCAAATGGTATCGGACTTGATCAGTAAATTGTTAATTCAGCGCTGAGTTTCGCATCGGCATGCTTCTGCAAGGTCCTGCATAGTGGAGACCGAACAGACACCCAAACCTTTCCACAATTCCGGTCAAAAGTCGAATGCATACCCAGAACGTAATCAACATTGTAAGGAGTTTGTTATCTTATCTTTTTTTACTACTGGAGACAAACTGGAATGTAGACAAACGTGCAGCAAAATCGTCCACATCTTGATCGCAAAGCGTTGCGAGGTGACCTCCGTATATTCGGCAGATTGCTTCAGCCTCCGGTTGAGTTTGAGGTTCACAGAATACCTGTAGTATAAGTTTATATGGATATCGCTAGCAATCTATGGATCTCCATCACTGAAGGTTTTCTCTCACTGAAAGATCCTCAATCGAATAGTGACGAGGCCACGCAGGGCGTTCCCAGGCGGCGGATAGGGAACTTAATCGCCGACCAAAAGTCACCAATATTTGCCCAGAATAGCAGGTGGATTCAGGGGATGGACTCCTTGATTCTGCAGAATGGTCGATATACCCTCTGTTTCTCGCAGGCGCATCCACGCATACGTGTGTGGAGAGTCTGCGGGTGCATTTGGTATCCTGCCCATCGACTTAGCCAAGAACTTGGCTCCGAGTAACTGGGAAGCATCTGGGAGGCGATTCGGGGCCGCCTTCAGAAACAAAAACAAGGGCCCTCGTCCAAGCCTCGGGATCGCCTGGCAAGCCCCCGGAGTTAACACAGCCCCCACGTCAGAGCCTGGAAAGCTACGCGTTGGGTATCCAATCGCCAAAAACATTAATACATATGGACCTCATTTTCCTTAACCTGAGGGAGCCCCCAATACGGCAGCGTTGGGTAGGACGGCTAGGGAGAAGCTGCTGAAAACTCAGGCTCAAAACAGGCTGTCCATAATTAGAAGGACTAAAACTTTCAACGCAGGACGCTTGCATAGGAAGCATGTATAGAAGACCTGATGGTGAAAGTAGGAAGATCAAGTACTAATTTTGTGCCATTTTTTGTTGTGCAAAGAATAGCCGTTGTTATCAGTGGTCCTCTTGCCTACATCTATAATCAGTCGCTATGCTTCGGTGAGGTACCCGTGTGCTGGAAACATTCCTTTGTTACTCCGCTACTGAAGAAAGAGCCATCTCGGGAACCCTGAGAATTATCGCCCCGTAAGCATTACTTCTCTTTTCTGTCGACTATTTGAGAAGGTCCTGAAAAAGCATGTCAGCCGTCACTTGTCTTTTAAAAATATTGTTTCGAGACACCAGCATGGTTTCACTCGTGGTTTTTCTGTTGAAACAAATATGATTGAGTGCCTGGACGAATAGAAGCTCTCCTGTGACGTCATTTACTTTGGATTTGCCAAAGCTTTCGTAAGGGTTTCGCACAAGAAACTGATCGTAACGCTGAAGGCTTTGAAATTCCACCCGATCATTACGAATTGGATCTCAGAGTATCTGAGTAATAGAGCGTTTCAAGTTAAGATTGTGGTGTGCTTTTCGGAAGTCCGGCGTGTAATAAGTGGTGTGCCCCAAGGAGGTGTGCTGTCACCGGTGCTTTTCAATGTTTTCACGGCTGAGCTTCCAAATATGCTTCGTGAAGTAGGTGTCACTCCGAAGGAGTATGCTGACGACATAAAGTTGTATAAGGCAATTTTAGTAGAAACAGACTCTCAGGAACTCCAAAGAGCAATTGATCTAATGGTGAGTTGGTCGAAGGATTGGCAACTGCCTATAGCGCCACACAAGACGGTGTATATGCAACTACGTTCTTGTACACCACCAACGCGAAAGTACACTGTTGATGGTGTCCCTCTCTCTGCCGTGTAATCCGTCAGCGACCTCGACTGTTACTTCAACGACAGACTGGACTTTAGGGAGCACATCGAAACGATGATCAGAGTAGCCAATCTTCGGACATTCCAAATTTCTAAAGGGCTGTCTTTGGCTAATAAAGGAGCTCTGTCGTGTGCTTACAAGTCGCATGTGCGACCTCTAGTCGAGTCCAGCACCACGGTTTTCAACAGCAAGAAAAGGAAGCATGTTTACGCGCTTGAAAAGGAATAGAATTTAGAATAACTTTACTCGAAAGCTGCTCATTCGAGTTGGTGGTTTCTTGTACTACAGAATACCAAAGGCAGCTATCAGGAATCAGTATCTTGGACTGACATCTTTAGAAACGCGACGCAGGGTTTTCGATCTTTGCATGGTTCACAAACTTGTACACTGCACATGTGGTCACGATTCCAATGTCTTCAAGCTGACACATTCCAGGACTAGGGGTGGCTTCATGAAGATTCCTTTGGCACGTCCTAAAACTAACTTGCGAGCGAGTAGCTTTACCTTCAGGGCTGGAAGTGATTATCTAAAAGTGGTGAAAAATATACCCGCCTCTTCATCGCTAGCACATTTCAAACTCACAGTCATTAAGCTGCTGCTGAAGGGAACTTGTCCTAAAGTTTCTTGAGACTGACTAACTAACTAATTTATCTTTGTATTGTTCATTGGCTGCTTGTACAAATGTTCAATATTTACGTCGTGCTTTGTTTTCTTTCTCACGATTGCCTTCCGCAAGCGTAATAAACTTATAACTTATAACCTAAGTACGACGTCATCGGACTGACCGGAACAGAAAGCATTGCCCGCTGCACGCTGAATTTAAGACTGGAGAAGAACTGTTCCTTGGAACATGCGACAGCAGAGGCGGTGGTGTCCTCGTCAATACGCACTTGGCCATGAACTTCGACTCGTACGAAAGCTTGACAACCCGAATTGGACGCTTGCCATTAAGATGTGGCCCGACCCCAGCTCTAACCATCTTCGTTGCCTACGCCCCAACATCGAGCTACGAAGAAAAAGAGTTGGAAGCCTTCTACAGGATCTGGAGAGGCTCTACAGAAAAGACCACACTTTCTACGAGGTCATCGTCGGCGATTTGAACGCCATGATTGGCCTCAGAAGAACGGCAGCAGAGCTCCACATCAGGACTCACGGAATGGAATCGAATGAGCAGGGTGAAAGGTTGTGCGAGCATACCATGTCGACCCACACCATCCATGGTAACTCGCAGGTCCAGAAGCCCTCTCATTTGCGATACACATATGGGTCATCTGGCGGACAGTTCCATAATGGAATAGACGACATCATCTTCAATCTGAGATTTTGCCTGACTGACGTCGCTGTTGTTCCATCACCCAATTCGTACAATAGATGGAACTTTTCGACTTTTCAAAAGGATAAGTTCGAATACAACAAACCCTGTAACATTTCATGGTCTTAAAGTTTACCACCCATGGGCTGCAGGGAACAGTTCCATTCGTTGCTTCCATTAGCATAATGATAACGAATAGAATTTTGACACCGCTCTTTCTGCAACACACAATTATTATATTATCAGAGTGACAAGGTTGACCCTACAAGGTAACCATACGTCCGCAATCTCAGATCCAAGAGATGGGAAGGACAAAAAAAAGTTTTTTAAGTGTCCTTAGTGATAATATCAAGGCAACCGCATTCTGGATGCCTTGAAGTTAGAAGAATTCATTATTGCATGACAGTGCACAAAAAGTCAAAAAAAGGGGCCTCTCAACCTAAGCTGAATGCATTTAGTTGCGGGTGAGCCGTCTTGTGGCTTACCTAATGGGGCGAACCTTTAGTCTTTAGCGACATGTAGTATTGTCTCACCGAAGAGCGACTTAGGAGCGGTAAGATAAGGACTTGAAGTTCGGTGAAAACACCACGACCTCAAGAATACCCTCTGATGAGCATGTCAAGCATCCTAATGAAGTAGTGCTATAGGGTGCAGGTTGCACGTGTGGATATGCCGCACTTATCGAGGCGCCTCGCTTCTTCGCGCTCCGTCTTGCACCTCTTCGGCTATTTCTGCGAAATCTAACAAACCTCATTTTCCTCACAACATTGACGAGGTAAACGCGAAACTTCGGCTTCGAAGGGACTCGAACCCATACTTGTGCTATCCGTGCACCGCGCTATTTATCCCTCACACTACCGAGACCCCGCTTGCCCTCGAAGGTTTATTTGGTAGGCAGCCAAGACTTGAATGCTATCCACAAATGTTGCCGAAACATATGTAATAACACCATTATCAAGTGTCCTTATCAATGAAGCTTCCTTCTCTACGAATACATCATTAGATGGGAATCCAAGACTATAAGAGGTCGAACAAGGATGGGAACAAAGAGAAACCTTGATCCGTCATCGAGTCACAAACTTCGCTGTGTAGCGGACGTAATCTAATACCAAGAATAATCAGAGATCTATCCCCTTATAACTTACTACCCTTGATCGCCCCTATCACTGTACTTCCCTTCTTGTCGAATGAAACCAGGGAGACGGGGGTCATGACTTACCGCCCTCAACCCAACCCTCTACAGGCGGATTCTGATCCTGCCACCCGCCGTAACTGCTCCCGCACTACTCCTACCGAGGTTGAACCTTCTAGGTCCACGGGAACAGCAGTTATAAATTCCCGGTCGCACAAACACACACGCTTACACACACATACATACAAACATAGGCATCTTTCATAGCCCACGACCAGTTGCGCGACCAGTCGCGCGACTGGTCGCGGACCCATCTCGCGAGCGACTGGCGACTGGTCGCTCGACTGGTCACTTGACTGATCGCGCCACTGGTCGCTCGATCGGTCAAAGAGGCCGCGCTAGTTATGAGTGCCGCCGTGGACGGTCCCGAGCAGATCGCGCGACCGGTCGCGCGACTGGTCGTGGACTGTGAAAGCAGCCATAGGCATCTTTCATAGTCCACGTCCGGTCGCGCGACTGGTCGCGAACCCATCTCACGAGCGACCGGCGACCGGTCGCGCGACCGGTCGTGTGACCGATTGCGCGACTAGTCGCCGGTCGCTAGCGACTGGTCGCTCGACTGGTCACTTGACTGATCGCGCCACTGGTCGCTCGATCGGTCGAGGAGGCCGCGCTAGTTATGGGTGCCGCCGTGGACGGTCCCGTGCGATCAGTCAAGTGACCAGTCGAGCGAACAGTCGCTAGCGACCGGTCGCGCGATCGATCGCGCGACTGGTCGCGCGACCGGTCGTGGACTATGAAAGATGCCATACACACACAGACAAACACACCGGCAAACCAACGGACACATTTGGTGAAGTTTACATATATGGTAGGTTAGCTTATCAGTAGTCACGCGTATTACCTGATGAGCCGGTAAGCCGGTATCCCCCATTGAACGGTTAAGCCGTAAGCCTGAACTAGTATAATGCCTTTCCTTAGGGTTCTAGCCACTGCATTCGCTTTTTCTCGTCTGAATTTTAATTACGCTTTCGGAACAGTCTCAGGCTGTTATCCATCAATTTATAGCCTTCCAACTGATCCTGAAGCTGCTATGCCATAGTGTGGGCCAGAGGTACTATGCAGAGGGTGGACAGTTCCTGTTGCTAACCTAGACAGAATCGGCCTTCATATTGTCCATCTTCTCCTATGTAAACACAAACTTTCCAATAATGCACCAAAATGTCTTTCATGGATAACTTTATCTATTCTTTATGTGAGCGTCGACTTAATAATTAGTCCTGCTGGACCCCTTGAAAGGAATCCTCTCAACAGGCGATTTAGAAATTCTGGAGATGGTCTGAGGTTTTATATGGACTGCGGTCCACTAATCGTCATGAGCCCAAAGATTGCTCCAAAAATCTTTTGGTATTGTGGAAGTGGACTTAGCACTAGATAATGGAAAAAAACGTACCTGACACCTGTCGACCACATCGTGTAGCTCCTCTGTTGAAAGTGAACGTATAGTTAGTGCTCAATAGCATATCAACCTAGGACAATACACAGGTATACGTTACCTGTGGTGATTCAACGATCAACCCCATTCTCTCCAACTCCTTTTGACGTATGTTACAGAGATTTTGTGACCCATCAACGAACAACAATGGAAATAAAGAGGTACAAAATGAACAAGGAAATCCATTTCATATAGTTCACACCAACAAAAGGGAACAGATGGCTCCTGGCAGCGCTTCACCGAAGATTTCGTGCTCTACGGCCAAGACGAATTACGGTAAATAGTTTGTTTTAAGCCTGGATCGCGTTTTTGAAATGACTCTACGTTTGAGAGGCTAATTTTTTGTATTTTAATGGTTCTTTCGGTTATATAATGGATGCATAGTATAGTAGTTCCTTTGTCAATATCTGCGAGGGGCTTTTTTTTTGTTTTAAGCCTGGATCGCGTTTTTGAAATGACTCTACGTTTGAGAGGCTAGTTTTTTGTATTTTAATGGTTCTTTCGGTTATATAATGGATGCATAATATAGTAGTTCCTTTGTCAATATCTGTGAGGCAAATCATTACTAGGAAAGAGTTATTGAGCCCCATGTAATCCTATAGGGTAAAATCGTGGCATTCTACCAACAGTGGATATTACATGTCATCACTGCACTGAAATCTTCATTTGCTCTGAAACTCGTCATGGAATTACTTAGAAGGAGCGAAAGATTGCAGTTGAAGTGATCAAGAATGCAAATGTTTAAAATATTTCTTGAGTTTATCGAATGATTCCCTGGTATCTCTATTAAGTGTGGGTTACTTGGGTTTCTAGGTCTGAGGTAAATGGATCCGCAACGTGCTGCTCAAGTACGAGCCGCGTGGTCGCAGAGTCCAACGTTTCTCCAATTAACGCCTAAGGAACGGTAAGTTTTTTATACGATCACGCCTCTTTTTGTTCCATCAGTAGAGAGGAGCTGGCCGTCTTTCATAAAATGTAATTCCATTAAAAAAGTGCTAGTTTGTTTCAGAAGTCCATTTCAGACGTGTACCTCTAAAAGGGAAAAGAAACATCCTGATTACCTCCGCTCTTCCCTACGTGAACAATGTACCACATTTGGGTAATATAATTGGTTGCGTTCTCAGCGCCGATGTGTTTTCCAGGTAATTTCCTTTCAGCTTTGTTTACCTTGTAGGGAATAGCTTTGGGGTTGGGTCAAGAACTGGATGAAACAGGAGAACCATACGTTTATCCTATCGCCTGTTCTTCAGATCATTTTTCCCTGCAGTGCTGGTTGATGCCATGCTTTTGGTTCTGTTCATTTTGTTTTGTTTGCCTCGTATTTATCGATTTAAGGTATTGCCGTATGCGCGGGCACGAAACACTGTACGTTTGTGGCACAGACGAATACGGCACTGCTACAGAAACAAAAGTGTGTGAATGTATCGGTTAGATTTTTTAAAGTGTGTAACTTATTCAGAGTTTAGGCACTACAAGAAGGATTGGCGCCGAAAGAAGTGTGCGATAAATATCACGTAATCCATAAAAAGATATACGAGTGGTTCAATATCGATTTCGACATATTCGGGCGCACCACAACACCGCAGCAGACTGAGTTAGTTCAAAGATTCATTCGATCTGTTTCTCACTGAGATCGTACTTTGCTAGCAAGCCAAAGTAGTTGTCTTGATTGGAAAAGGAAGGAACGAAAATATCTTCCAAAGAATTTATTGAATATTAAGCTACACTTACGCATTTTGCCGATTTAGTGACTATTTTCGTCAATTTGGTTGGGAAGTGACCTACTCTCCTACTTTTGCACTTTCAGGATAGCTCAAGACATCTTTCTGAAGTTACACGAGAATGGATACACATCGTCATGTTCTATTGACCAGCTGCATTGTCAAAATTGTGATAAGTAAGTTGTATTTTCATCTTCATTGTCTGCTCAAAGTGTTCATTCGAATAAGTGACTGTTATTGCTGAGTAATTAGAATAAATTGAAGGAAATTCAAACTGTTTCTCTTATTTGAAATCTCCAAAGTTTCTTCTCTCATGACTTTTTCATTCCGTTCTTCCATGCTCTCTCTGTAAGGTCAGTCAGTAGTTCCCCTCGGGATTTTGAATGTTCACTCAAAAAGTAAAAGTTTATTTCGAAAGGATGTTTCACCTTTCCTTCGGTTCGTCACGGAAAATCAACCGTTCTCAGCTTATCATTTTCTGTACTACTCGAACAATGAGGGCTTTTGAGTTATGTCAATTTGAACTCACTGGATCTCAATTTGTAGATTTCTGGCGGACCGCTTCGTAACTGGCATCTGCCCATTCTGCACCTTCGACGATGCGCGCGGTGATCAATGTGATAGCTGTGGTCGTCTTATCAACGCTGTCGAGCTGAAGAGCCCTAAATGCCATATTTGTAAACAGGAGCCGAAGGTTAGTTTTGCGAGTTCTTCTTTCTTGAAGTGTCTCTTTTCAACTCCTTTCAGGTACGGCAGTCGACGCACATTTTTCTGCACTTGGACGCGTTGCAGGTTTGCCTTTCAGCAGTCTGTTTTTTATATCTATTTAGTTGTTATAATAGTTTTACTATTATTATTATTTTGTCTTATTTTTGTAATTTTTAATGCTGCCTTGTCGTTTTATGAAAATCTATTTCGAAGGATGAGGTACGGCAGTATGTGGAGCATGAAATCGCTAAACCAAATATGCGTTGGTCTACGAATGCGATAGCCATTGTGAAAGGGTGGATCAAGGTTGATCTGTTCAGTAGTGAAACATCGATAATTCACGTTATCTGAATACTAAGTTCTTGCAGGGAGGATTAGAGAAAAGGTGTATTACTCGTGACCTCAAATGGGGAACAGCAGTTCCTCTTGCTGGTTTCGAAAATAAGGTGTGAAGCAGGCTCTTTTGCAAATATTTCTTTTCAATTCCATCTTTCAAAAAAAAAAAAAAACGTCGATGCTTGAGGTGTTCTACGTGTGGTATGATGCTCCCATAGGATATCTTTCGATAACAAAATGCCTTGTGGGCGATAACTGGACAAAATGGTGGAAGAATCCGGACGAAGTTGAGCTGTTCAATTTTATTGGGAAGGTTAGTGCACTCGACTTTTAGTGTTTCTCATGAAGCATTTTTTCAAATACTTATTTTTGAAGGACAATGTTGCGTTTCATGGCGTTATGTTTCCTTGTACGCAACTAGGTGCTCGAGATAACTATACAATAGTCAATCATGTATGTGCAACAGAATACCTGAACTACGAGGATACAAAGTTCAGGTGTGGACACAATTGTATTGTTGTACAACGACAGTTTTTTTCATTGTTTATTAACGCTGCGTTTATATATTCTTCTGTTTTCCTTTTCCCATTTTCCTGAAATTTTCTCTTGTATTCCAGTAAATCGAGGAACACCGGAGTATTTGGCGATAACGCGAAGGATACTGGCATTGAAGCTGATGTATGGCGTTTTTATCTGCTCTATATGCGACCGGAGACTCAGGACACCTCATTCTGCTGGGATGATTTTGCTCTGAAGGTAGTTGTTTTAGACGATGTCAGGCTAGAGCATGATTGCCAGTGGTGAGAGACTGAGATTCCAATTTCACATATGCGGCCAGTTGAGCTCTAGTTGGTTGAGTTCTTTAGTTTGCTCGACTATGGCTGGATTTTATTGTTCATAGTTAGTAACATACAAATAATTTTAAGGTAAATTCGGAGTTGCTTGCCAATTTGGGCAATTTCATCAATCGAGCTCTTTCGTTCCTCAGCAACAGCTTCGGAGGTGTTGTACCGGAAATGCATCTTGATGACATTGACGTGGAGCTCCTGGCAGGAATCGAAGTATGTTAAATTCACGATTTTGCTCACAAAGATGGATTAACTACCGAGGTACCAGTTTGCGGTGAATGTAGGAGATGAAGAATTATTAAGGAGGATTCAGCTGAATGGGATCAATTGATGGATGCTGTTCGTCAAAAGGATGCCGTCAAGGCGGTCCTTTCAATGTCACGACGTGGAAACCAATATATGCAATCTCAACAGCCATGGGTGCTCATAAAAGGAAGCGAAGAAGAACGGTGTTTTTTCTTTTTCCCTCGAAACCGCTTCTTTGTGAAGCAGAGTATCTTTTCGCAGACATTACAGTCGAAATAGTAGCGCCCTTGTTCAGAAAGCGTGCTGGTACCGTCATCGGAGTTGCTGCAAACATTTCCTATCATCTAGCTATAGTCTTACATCCGATAATGCCTGAGGTATGGATACAATCCAGACGACATGTAGTCAAATCACGCAAAGGTTTCATTTAGATCGCAGCCCGAATAAGATCTCAATGCGCTCTAGAACAGTTGCCATCTTTCTCCACGTACCCGCTATCATATCTCAAGCCTGGGCATAAAATAGGAACAGTAAGTATCGGATCTCATTAAGGCTCTTGAAATGTATTTAACAACCTTTTTGAGAGGAAATCTTCTAAATATATGGGTGCTTTCCAGCCGAAACCGCTATTCACTAAAATGGAAAGTGCGAAGGTGACTGAATGGAAAGCGAAGTTCGGTGGCTCAAAGGTTGTTGACAATATACAAAAGAAGCAAAAAGGTGAATTTCGATCCTCATGTTGCGTGGTACCATAATAATGGTGTTTTCGAGTTTTCCTTGTCCGTAAAATACTGTTGGGGGTTTTAAGAGCAGTGGTTTTCATTGAGTCGTTACCTCTACTGCTACATCGTCTCGTCGTGCAGTGAGTGCATAAACTATTTTAGAGCGAGGGCTGTGTGTAAATCTGAGGGTCCCAGCTAATGTGGAGGTTTTAGGGTGTGAAGTAACCAACGCTGCATCGAAAATCAGAAACCATTCTCACTTTTCGATCCACTTCCAGCCACCCATGAGCACCACACCCCAATAGGAGCGGATCGAATGATTCAGTCACATAATAAGACAGACTCCATCTACACTCTACTGACCTTTTGATCTTAAATTTTAATGCCTATTGATTGTATATCCTTACCTAATAATTCATATGATGGGTACGTGTTAATGCGAATACAGAGAGTGTGACAGCCTCAGAATGCTGTCTTTTAGGTTCGTGACGTGAGATGGACAAATCTTCCGAGATGTAAAACGTCAAGACTTCGATCTCTTCATTGTCTTCTTTCTTTTATTTTATTTCTCGAACTGCCGTTGAACACTAGCACTTACGCGAGTGAATTTGACCCAAGCTTGAGTATTACTGCAGTAGATAGAAAAGTCACCTTCTCTTAGAAGCTATATGAGAAAACCATTCCATGCATGCCATATACCATACTAGAAGAAATTTGATCCATTACTAGATTTTTGTGATCTTTTTTCGCTTTGTTTTTTGTCTCCCTTTTCTCAGTATTGCCAAAGCGCTCGTTACGCGGAGTTTGTCATATTATCCTTTTCTGTGAATTAGTACGACATCGTTCACTAGCACGTTAGGCTCATGATATCTTTCCATAACCCATTTTGCAGATAGGACCAAACAATCTCCGAAAGCCGAAGCCGGTGAGAAAAGCGCTAAAAAGTCAGAAAAGCACAAATCGGATATGGCTACGAAAGGAATTTTGGCGTATCCTCATCTCGCTAAGAATCAGCAGCAGATCAAACAGCTTTTGGACGCGTCACTGAAGAAGTTCAATCAAGCACGTAAGTCTGCTGGGAAAGTATGCTTTGATAGGTCTTTGGTAATTCGATAGTTTTAACCTTGAAGCAGATATTGTCGGTCACTTTAATGGTTAGTCTTCCAGGTGAGCTATTTGTTAAACAAAAAGGAGCTGAACTGGCTGCTAACATTTCAAAGCTTGAGAAAGAAGTTGAAGAAGTAAAACGTCAGTTGATTGAAGCTGAAACAGCTGCAGGAAGTGAGTTAGCGTGTTCAGCCAAATTGGCATATTCTTGTATTTAATTAATTTCAGTTAAACAAGTTGCGGTCCCCAAGTTAGCGAAAGCTGTGGAAAAGGACGAACCCATCAGTAATGCTAATGCTCCGGTCGAGAAATCGTCCAAAAAGGAAAAACCTGACGCAGAGAAGAAGCAATCTGCTTCTGGTGGTGGGAAGAAAGCGGGAAGTTAGTTTTACTTTCTAATTAGGCGTCATGTTTTTTTTTCTACGAAGTCTGCTCGTACTTATATCTCTGGCGCCATTTTTTAGTTGTGAGAAGTATGAATGAAGAACCTTGGTATGAGAGAACCTCTTCAGGTGCCACCGTCGATGACCAGATAGATGTAGGACGCCTCGACCTTCGAGTTGGACGTATCGTGAAATGCGAAAAGCACCCTGATGCTGATGCACTGTACGTTGAACAGATTGATGTAGGAGAATCAGCACCGCGAACAGTTGTGTCAGGACTTGTCCGGCATGTTCCACTTGATCAGGCTAGTCAGTTTTTCAGGGTTGTTGTTAATAAGCTCTCTTGTAAACAAGGAAATTCAGATGCAAAACCGCCTTGTCGTGGTATTATGTAATCTGAAACCCGCGAAAATGCGAGGAATCGAATCTCGAGCCATGGTGATGTGCGCGTCATCTCCAGAAAAGGTTCTCTATTTGCAAACTGTACTAGTCTAGGAAACATCGTGGCTTCAGGAAGAAATAGTCATGAGCGACATTTCATCTAGGTTGAAATAATGGAGGTAGATCCGTCCTCTCAACCAGGAACTCCTGTGAAGTGTCCGCCCTATGTCCATAGGCCAGATGCGCAGTTGAATCCTAAAAAGAAGGTGAGGGTTCCGACTTTTACTATAGATTCTTCCTTTCGGTATTTTTTGGCTAGCTCTGCCCATAGCCTTTTTTCAATTTACACTCAACTGTAATTTTGTTTCTTATGGTGATTTTCGGAATTGTACTGAGATGATGTTATAGATCTGGGAGACCGTAGCCGAGGACTTGAAAGTTAGTGCCGAAGGGTATGCTGTTTGGAAGGATTGTCCTCTGCTGGTCGGCGGCAGCACGAAAATGACAGCCCCAACGCTACGCGGTGTTTTCATCAAATAAGCCTTAATTTCAAGTATAGTCGAGGATCCTCTCGGTTGTTAAAGTTTTTGTTTTATTTATTTACTGGTGTAGTCCTCTCATGTTTTGATCCCTTTTTATTGTTTTCATAAAATGCTGTTGTGTTTCCAAAAAACTTCTATGCTTTGCTAGGGAGAATGATTTTATATCAGTCGTTATAAGTCTTGTTGTTGTAATATTCGGTCATTGGGGGGCTTAGATGATCTGATGGAATAAATCGTTTATTTTTAATATGTTCATGTGTCATGATGTCACTGGACCAAAAGCCCAGGCGTATATGTACGAAAAAGGAAGTTTGTTTTTTTTTTTGTTTTCGTTTTTTATTGAGTCACTGGGGAAATGGACTCAGTTGGAGACAGTCTCCCATTAAGAAAGACGCAAAGTTAGGAATATTTGAATCTGGTTATAATTTCTGAAATCACAATTTGTGGTCTTTCGTGCAAAGTTTGCTCTTTTTTCGAGATCTTATGGCATTCATTGATCGCTGACTTTTGGGTGGTAGCTATATTCTTTTCGGAGCTTGATGACCAGAGCTTGAGCTGTATATGCCTTTTTCTGTATGATTGGGTTGATTCGTTTCCAAATATTTTATCACCTCACTAAAAGAAGAGTACGGAATAAAGTAACCATGACAAGTGCGCGCTCGCATTAAGGTCAAAGCAGAGCCAGCATGGGAACATTTGTGATTCCTTTTCTGGTTTCGTATGTTGTGTTTTCAGTGCCATATCAAGCAACACTCAACTTTGTAGTTTCGATTCGGGTTCATCACAATCTTTTCTTCACCAATTTCTTTTTCTTTTTTCAAGGCAACATGCCGAAAAAGAAAGGCTCAAAACAACTGGGCTTAGATGACGAGAGGTTTGCCCATCTTCGCTCGGATCCGAAGTTCTCAGGACTAAGTAATCGTGAGAAAAAGGTTAGTTCTATACCAACGGAATTCAAAAAACAAATGTTATATATGTTGCATATCTTGAATCTTGGGTCCGATACAAAAGTGACCTGAGCTTGATGAAGTTAGCTCCTTCTGTTGATGCCTTTTTTCAGGTCACCATTGGCAAAAGATTCGCTGCTGCATTGACTGATCAAAGATTTTCCAGCAAAGCTCGGGTAGATAAAAGAGGTCGACCTCTCAGGAACAAAGGCGGTAAAGCTTCAATTTCTAATGCCCTTTCATTAGTGCTTTTCTAATCGCTTAATTCACAGGTAATCTTGTGGACCTATATGAGTTGGAGAACAGCGACGAGAATAGCGAAGAAGATGTGCCGCCGGCGAAAAAAATTAAGAATTCAAAAGAAGGCGCAGGCAAAGAAGATGGGAATGAGAGTGAAGGATGTTCTCATCACGAACAAGAAGAGCAAGAGTATTCCGAAGGAGAAGAAGAAAGTGATGATGATCGACCCATCAAGGTAAATAGTGGTGTATTCTCCAGGTTCTGCGATTTTTCTGATCCCTACAAACCACCGAATTCCCACCTGCATTCCAGCTAGATCTTGCTCGTGGCGAAGGCAACGTTGTTTCCTCATCGGACGATGATGATTCGGATTCAGACTGGGATACCAACGAAGGTGTCCAGCTAGAAATCGACTTGGCTCACCTCGATCAGTAAGATCTTTTCCGATAAATCGTGTTGCGGAAAATCCTTGAAATTATCAGAGCGGTATAGAGACGCTGAACGTGTGGAATGGTCTTCGAATCGAATTGCTGCATGTAATCTGGACTGGAATCTCATTCATTGTGAGGACTTGATGGTGGTAGCAAAGTCATTCACGTAAGTTGCAAATAGGTATCCTGCCCATCATCATAACTTGATGAACTATCAGTCAGCCTCGGAATTATTGAAGTTTTCAGTCCTCCAGGTGGTTCCATAAAAAGAATAGCTATATACTTGTCTGATTTTGGAGCTGAACGACTTGCTGAAGAAGACAAGTATGGCCCAAGATTGCAACTCAGCAAACCTATAGAGGAGTACGATGGCGAAGAAGTTGACGAGTATGTTTCGAAGTTAAACATTTTCCTTTATTCAAATGCATTAGGTCTCTAACTTTCTGTAGAATTCTGAAGTCGAAAGGAAGACAAGGACTGACTCAGTGAATTCTATGTAGGTTACAAGGAGAATTAGCATACTGATCTGACATAAATCAATGTGACCGTCAGATAGGCCTCTTTTGCCTGCTTGGTAGCGAACTTAGCACAATTTAAAATGTTCATTTTATATGGCAATGAGCCGCTGTCGCGTGGCCTCTATTCTAGCATTATATCATGTGCAAGTGTAACCGCCTGACTATAAGGAACATTATCTTATGTGGCTTTCTGGTGAAAATTAGAGTCTTTGGCTTTGCTTAAATTTTAAGTTTCTCTCGTTCCAGTGAAACGAAGTTAGCAATGCGAAAGTACCAAGTGGATCAATTACGGTACTATTATGCGGTGCTTGAATGCGATTCGGTGAAGACGGCTGAAGCGATTTATAACGAATGTGATGGTTACCAATTTGAGTCAAGCAATGTTAAAATGGATCTCCGTTTTATACCAGATGACATGGAATTTGATGTGAGAACTTTTGCGCTCACTCCTTGTGCCCCAATCAAAGTTTGTTGATTGCTTCAGAAAGATCGGATCAAAGAGGAGTTGTGTGAAGGGGATGTCAATGTCGCCAAGTACAAATCGAAGGAAAAGGTATTACTACATATTGAGCTAAGAATGGCTACAGCTTCTCTACCCTTGAAGTTCTGTGCTTAAGCTTGCACTGGTTAGGCTCATTCCTGAGACCCATGAATGACTTACCAATCGGGGCGACTCTTTTCCTTCTTTCGAAGACATGGCATTTGAAAGCTCCTTTGATCTTATTCTTTCAGCTGCAATCGGCTATAGCACAAACGAATGCTCGGATAGGTTGGGATGAAACAGAAGAGATTCGTTCGAAGAAGTTTGCCGAAGCTTTCATGTACGTTATTTAATATAGTACTTTATATCTATTGATAAATTATCTGATATCTGAATCACCTGTGTCACCTGTCGTCCCATTGATCATCGATTTCTCGAGCGGGCGCCAGTAACGTCTCCATTCGTCCCTGTCACGAGCCAGAGTGGTCCAGTGAATCGTTCTCGCTTCAGGGACACGAGGTTCAACATTCCTTTCGTTCAGAGCTTTCGTGAAGAAGTCTGACCATCTCGTTGGCGGCCTTCCTGGAGTTTGTTTGATATCCCGAGGGATCCAGTCAGTAAACGCCCTGGTCCCCTGGTCCAACGGTCATCACTATATCGCATAACGTGTCCGGCCCACTTGATCTTCGATTTCTTGGCGTAATCAACGGCATCCCTGATCTTCGTTCGGTGACGGAGCTCGGAACTCCGGATTCCCTTCTGCACTTGCGTGTATAGGGAAATTCCGAGCATCGTCCTTTCCAAAGCGCGTTGAGTAACGCTGACAGCATGCTCATCCTGCTTTCGTAGAAGGACAGCAGTGTCGAAAAGGTGAGCGCTGAGCCGGATGTTCTTTGTCTTCTTCACTACTCCCTCGATATTCTTAAATGCTCCCCACGCGGCGCGTTTCCTTCTGCACAGCTCTGGAGCTAGGTCGTTCATCATGTTGACTTCCCGACTTAGATACACATAGCTAGAGCATTCGGAGATATTCGTTCCGTTTAACGTGAAANATATCGCATAACGTGTCCGGCCCACTTGATCTTCGATTTCTTGGCGTAATCAACGGCATCCCTGATCTTCGTTCGGTGACGGAGCTCGGAACTCCGGATTCCCTTCTGCACTTGCGTGTATAGGGAAATTCCGAGCATCGTCCTTTCCAAAGCGCGTTGAGTAACGCTGACAGCATGCTCATCCTGCTTTCGTAGAAGGACAGCAGTGTCGAAAAGGTGAGCGCTGAGCCGGATGTTCTTTGTCTTCTTCACTACTCCCTCGATATTCTTAAATGCTCCCCACGCGGCGCGTTTCCTTCTGCACAGCTCTGGAGCTAGGTCGTTCATCATGTTGACTTCCCGACTTAGATACACATAGCTAGAGCATTCGGAGATATTCGTTCCGTTTAACGTGAAAGGAGCATCAGGTACTAATCCGTTTCTCATGAACATCGTCTTCGTTAGGTTCAGCCTCAAGCCGATCTTTCCACAAGCACTATCAAACTCGGCCAGCATTCGTTCCGCCTGCTCGACGTTTGGTGTTATAAGCACAATGTCGTCTGCAAAGCGGAGGTGATGTCGGAAGCGGCCGTCGACCTTCACTTCCAAGTCTTTCCATTCTAAATGACGCATGATATTCTCGAGGGCGGCACTGAAAAGTTTGGGCGAAATAGTATCGCCTTTCCGGACACCTCTCTTCACGTTAACAATGACTTCCTTATATAAGATATCTGAATATCTTTTCTAAAAATTGTTGCCTATCAACAGTGGGCTTTCCACAAGATGATTTGCAATCACTATGAAACTTCAGACCCACAAATCAGTGACATATATTCTGTGTTCCCACCAACATGTGCGTGATTCAGCTTCACACTATTTCGTTTTGAAGAAATGTGTTCCAGCAACGAAGATGAGGCTGCAGACCTAATCGCTTGCTCAGATTCAGATGATGATCAAGAAGTGGAAAAAAGACGTCAAGCATTATTGTCACTCCTTGGTGACAACGAAAAAGTTGAAGGTTTGGAGGTGAGCGTCAAGAGAACATCTTTTAGCTGAACTATTGGGAGCAAATTTTATGACAATATACAAAAAACAATAGTTTCGTGTTTAAAGGTCTCTCTAAACTTTTCAACTCTCTCTCGAGTGTCTGAGAGTGCGGCTTGTGAGGCTATAAAAGCGTTTTAAGAATTTTGTAAGCGTTGCTTCATTGCAAATTATTTTCTTCAGGTGGATTGGGATAATCACCGAGTTAACGGTGTAAGTGATGAAGAGGAGAATGAGGACGACGAAGAAGAGCAAGAAAGTGACAGCAAGTATATCGAAAGTAAGAAACACGATAACAAGGATAGAGAGCCCGATGAAAAAGATGCCATTCGAAAAATTGAGCCGAAAAGGAAAGAAGTCAGGTTTTCATGGCGACCGTTCATGAACACTACCAATTTGCCGTTCTGATATTTTGATGTTTCCAGAAAAACACCTATCAAGCATACTTGGAAAGGAAAAAGGCGAAGAAGGCGGAGCGTAAGCAAAAACTACGTGAGCAGCGAGAGAAGGAGCGAGATGCAACCAGAGAACTCGACAGTCAGACTAAGGCAAAGCACAAGGTAGGTTTCTGGGATTTTCCGTTTGACTTCGGACCGTAAAACCTTCTACGTTTCCTCCTTTCCAGGAAAATCTTGCTGCTTTGCGTGCTATGAAGCAAGAAGAGGACAAGAGTGGAGCTCTGGCAGAGGCTGTGGCTGGGGATGAACGTTTCAAGGCTTTGTTCACTGATAGTGCATATGCTATCGAGCAAAGCTCTAAGAACTATAAGGTAAATTTCAGAAAACAGGTTATTCACAGTATACGGTATCGACGGTACGGCTAAGCAAGATTTTTAGGGCTCAAAGCTAATAGAGAAGCAAGTATCCGCCAAGCGAAAAGCTATAGAACAATCTGGAAAGTCCGATAGTGCCAACCCAAAAGATCTTATATCAAAGTTGAAGACTAAGTCAGCGAAATGGAAAGGATAGTTTCGCGATGTTCGAAGAGTAATTGTTGTTGTTGTTTGTTGCTGAATTCTATAAAATTGTTCTCAGTTATACAGTTGTTTACTGGTGCTTTCAGAGAGCACTCGTTGGTCTTCAGAGAGCACTCGTTGGTCTGAATACAATAAAA